ATTATGACATTCTTAACATACATGCACAATAATCCGAAAGTGTGCATAAACTGCTGCTAGAGGTAGACTCATTTAGCGCCGTAAGAAAGAAAGGGAATTCGAAGACAACTAAAGATTTGACGCCCTCACAAAATTGAGAGAAGCGCTGTACGCAAAGCTGCTTGTGTACAAGCGTCAGCCACTAAGGAGCCGAATTCTCAGAATTCGTCAAAACTTTGCATGGTAGGGTTACTTGCCCTGACAATTACGAATATCGTATTTATTCTTCAAATTAACACCTCTTTTCTTGTTTAGCTTGAGATTCCATGCCGTAAGCCTGCTGTAACATTACAAAAAAGTCCTTACATGCGAGAGCAATATGATTTTCGTGATCAGCATGCCAGATAATGCCTCTACACAAGGTTTCAGCCATATTTGTAATGATCTATAGCTTTTTCCCTTGTACGATATACCTACCATAACCTTCACTGCGACGTTAAAAATTTTGCAGATTTGTAGCTCCTCTTGTAGCTTACGTCACGACCTACTTGATGGGAAAATTTGAGTGCGCCATATGCAAAAAGAGAGAAGTTATAAAAGTAGCTGCAAAACTTAGTTAACAACCAAATATTTGCGAACTTTGCAACAATGCATGAGAATCCGGCGTAGCCAGACGACCATGAGATTTCATGAGTTTTGAGCCACGAGTTTTCTGTCACTCCAGTACGGTAACCATTTCCCGTGCACAAAGAAGTTCCATTTCAGGTCTCGTGGCGTTTTTTGAACTCCTCTATTTCCTGAAAAGAGTCGTTGTCTGACCAAATGTCTTTTTCCCTTGTTCGTGAACCGTAAATGGTCTCTGTACAATCAACCGACGAACTCTATATTTCATATCGCCTACGCAATCTCCGTAGGCTAGATTGTAAATCACTCACTCTTGAGTATCTAATCACTCAAGGGCGAGTGGTACCCGTGTGCCAGGAAGGTAGCCAAATGGCGTCATCTCCTTTTAAGCACCAGAAATCGTATACACTGTGCCTTGTACTCGGTTAAGCTCCGCCTTTCTTCGTATACTAGGAGCCTCCAAATGTATTAGGGGTTTCTCCCGGTTCACAGCGGGACGCCTCGAACTCTCTCTCTTTCTCGACTAGTCTGCGCTCGTGCGAATACTCAGACATTCGCTGTTGACTCCGGAGATCCGCCCCTTTTCGAGGGATATGCAGAAAAGCGTAGACAGCGAGACAGTTTTTTGATAGATTCTTGGGTTTGTCGCGAAAGGAAATAACAAAATGATGACTGACACAGCGAGTAATTTCGCAGTAGTAACATTGCTCTGCCTAAGTGGGCTTCACGAATTTCAAGTTTTTTCACGCCGTCCTTTGTCATTCATTACTGTAGACTTCTACATTCGAAGTTCACATTCACACTCATTCATTCCATTCACACTGAATTTTTTTCCGATGAACGAAAGACAAGCATTTTGTACATTAGTAATGTTGTATAGGGCATTTGAAAAATCGTGACGATGGCGCGACCGAGCGCGACACGCACGCTACTTACGGAAATCGCATTTTCTTGGTTTTCATCTCCAGTCGAATGGTTTTTTGCTTACATATGATAATATATAGACACTGGAAGTGACTGAGCTAAACGTTGGGGCGATGCCTTCCTGTATGAGCGTTTTATGCTCCCGTGGGCGCAAAGTTCGCAGTAAAACTCGTCCTAACAACTCTATAAATGAACTATACGACTATCAGTTGCGAGACTTGTTCTTGGATTTTGTCTCCTTCCTCTGCAGTTTCACCAACTAACATTTACTGAAGGTGCAATTATAGTTCGCTGACAGATATCATTACCTTGCAAAGGTCGCTCAGGAAACGAAAGAATTTTAGCTGCAGATCTTGAGCATGTCGGTGTCGAAACGCATATTTACACTTTTCAGTGGCTCCCCACCTCGCATACAACAGAGCTTCCACTTCAAATGTTTTCTTTGCATAGTTGATCTCTTTTTTAAATGGGTTTTGAAAAGCCTTTCTGCAGAATTGTTCCTCATCTGCTGTTTTAGGATATGAATGCGATTTTCCATATACCTTTGACTTTGCATGATGCTTTTGCCGATTTTTTTACAGTTGAGTTTCGACTGTCCTTTGAAGCAAGTTTTTCTATACTGGTCATACCACATCTCCTTCCCAACCTTCATCATTTTTGACAAACCCAAGCGAAACCGGGTAACCAGCTAGTATTCAGCTAAAGCCGATCCATTCATAATTAGCACCCTCATATCCCCTATACCAACTCCTAGCTCAAAGTTTTTGCAAGAATCGCTCAAATCAATAAACCAGATTTTAATTTCAATCACCCTCATTTACTCCCCTGTGCCAACTTCCAACCTCTAACTCACGATTTTCCAAAGATCGATAAAATCGATAAAATAAAAATTCATTCATAATCAGCACCCTGACGCACCCCCCCCCCTGCGCCAGCTCTCAGACCCGTAAAGATCGGAAATTTTCGTCTTGTATGATATCTAGTCGTAGACGAAGGCATGTGGTTTATTCAGCGAAGCGAGCACTAATGCTCCTATAGCTCAGGCACACTGCAGGCATTTCAGTAGCGACATGGTTTGGCAATAATCAAATTGTTCATAACTTATCGTGCGGATTTTAAAAGTAGAGAATGCAAGGCACTTGATTATTTAGAAAGTTGTACGCGCTACACATTTGTGGTAAGCCGGCGTTACATTTGAAGACATCTCGTAACTGGGAAATCGCCTAAGGCTATTGCGTGAAGTATGTCATGTTCAAAGCTCGCATTTCCCAATGTGGGTGTCGCGGCTCGCGATGCAAGCCACTCCTCGAAACAGGAGGCCGGGAGCGCTGGCTATCGCGTTACTTGGCGCGCTCTCAAGATCGCGCCAAGACCTCTCCTGCTGAGCGCGTTGCCAAGTCACAGGGTATATAAGGGCGCGCAGGCCGCGGTCTACGCCTCTTCGAGTTTCGTTCGTATTGATCGTTTTATGAGATTGTTCGTACTGGCAGCGCCTCCAACAGCTCCCGCAGATGATCATCGGTTTCGAGCGGTTGAGCTTTTGTCATCGTCTTGGTTTAGGAGACGCGCAGCTAAACGTCATGGTTTGTCTTGCGTAGGAAGTACACCAGCGGGAGTGGAGAGGGGTCACACCGTCCCGGAAGGGCTAGGGGCTTGCGGTTGACCCAGCGGAGAGCCCGGAACTACGCGTTGGAGTGATCATCACCGAGCATCGGCAGCACGGGACAAGGCGGCTCGTCCCGTGCCTAACTTTTCCTGATTTTAGGGAGTAGTTTTAGTAGCTTTAGTAGTTTTTAGTAGTTCTCGTAGTTCTAGTAGTTTTAGTATTGTTAGTAGTTTATTGTTGTGTATATTTGTAGATAAATGTAGTCTGAATTAGTCGGTCCTTTTCTTTCTCAGCGTTACGCGCTATCTATTATGCCGTTCATACTTGTAGAGGGTAGTCCTCGGCAGCGGCCGTTAAGGCGTCGCGAACCTTAACGGACGCGCGACTTCGTAGGGGACAATAAGGAGTTAGGTGTAGCTGCGGCGAGCACTTGCGGAAAGGTGCTGATCACACCGAGCCGCCACATGGTGCATCGACGCCGAGCGCATGGTGGATGGCGGTTTTGCCGCCCCGCGTATGGAGATGGGTAGCCGCGCGCCTTGGTTGCGGCTAGGTAGGTAACATCGGCGTTTTAGGTAAGTTCAGGTAGGTTTCTCTGCGCTAAGTTATCCCATCCTCCATGCGTGCGTAACGAACCCTGTGTCTACCACGTTCAGCACCTAGTAGGAAGACCCAGGCAAGCAGGGAGATACGCGTCTCGTCTTCGTAGCCAGTAGTGGTCTACAGAGGCTAGCCAGGCTAACATCTGTAGGCAGCGCGTGGGGTTAGTGGTAAGGTGGCAGCTTCCCACTAGCCCCCGACGTCACCGCGCTGACCCTTTCGATTCCTGGTCAGCCACTGTGCCAGAAAGGCTGTAGGAGTGACGGGCCGGCGTCGTCATTGGCGGGCTCGACCAAGGACCAGCAGCTGCAATAGTGTCGAGTCTCAACAAAGGATAAGGCAGGTAGGTAAAATAGGTTTTTTTCAGGTTTCAAGGACGCATGGATTTGGGACGCGGATCGGATGGCACACACGGCGCCGTCCTTAGCAGGAGAGTGAACCGGGGATAGGTGACTGGGTGTTCGGGCTAGGTAAGGGGGTCTAGGATAGGTCAGCAAGGGTTTATCTTAGGTATAGGGTACAATCTAGGTAAGGGGGTAGGTTAGGGATAAGGCTTAGGTTAAGGGGGTAGGGTTTTTAGCTAGGTTTAGGAGGGTAACTGGGTTCGCTTTAGGTAGGTGAGGGGGTTTAGGATCGGGGGGATGGGTTAGGTTAACAGGGCTAAGTTTGGTTTTTAGGTGGGTTAGGTAAGGGTATATTTTAGTGAGGTTCAATCTAGGATAGGTAGGTAAGGCATCTAGGTTAGGCCGCGCGGATAGGTAGGTAAGGTATCACGTTAGGTAAAGGATATAGGTAGGTAAGGCATTTAGGTTAGGTAGATAAAGTCGCGGCAAATAGGTAGGCAATTCATATCTTTTCAGTTTAGGTAAGGTATGTTCTTTAGGTTTAGGTAGGCAGATAGCGGTTCACTCGCCCATGGGTTCTGCGAACCCCTCCAGGTCGCCAAGCTGGAGCCTCCTACAGTGTCTACACTGGCCTCCAGTCGGTTACTTGCTCTGTTAGTTCTGTTACACGCGTTTCACTTAGGTGCCGCGCTAGGCTCTTAGACGGACGCGTTGTCGTAACTGCTTGTCTTGCGCCCATTATTCTCCCTACCGCCGTTGGACTACCCCGTTTTCCTTAGGTTTTAGCATATCATGTAGGTTGGGCCGATTGGTTTTTCATGTTACTCACTTCATATTTATCTTGGGGGGTTCTAGTTATAGTTTTACTCGCTTACCTCGTTGTATTTTTGATATTGCGTTTCTGCTCTGTCATGTTTCAGGTAATGTCGCAACTCGGTGCGCAAAAAGCCCAGTTAACTAACGCCGTCAATACGTTACGCAGGAAGATCGCGGAAGTCGACCAGGCCAACCTTGATTTTGCGGACTTTGCTTCGGAGGCGAGTAAAGATCCACATTTGATTTTTGATCGTTTGAATTTGCTTTTTACTTCGCTTTCTTCTGTTAGTCGTGCTGCCTCTGCCCTACGTGGCCAGTTGGAGAAAGCCGAAGAGTTTGCTCGCCGGAATCCCGACGAGCGCGGAGAGTTCCCTTTCCTTTCGGACATCCATACTCATTGGGAAACCGGTGGGATGGATGATATTTTGGAGGAGGTGGATGCTCTTCTCGTTCGCTTGGATTCAGCGATCAAACATCTTTCTAATTTGGGACGCCCTTATCAGTGTTTTGTACCATCTGTTGCTCCATCCTTGTCGCGCAGTTCACTTTCCCATACTGTCCAGGACCTTATTTTGCCCCATCAGCCCGCGCAGGCGGAGGAGGTAGCCGGCCCTCATTCTCCGTCGCAGGCCCAGGATCGTCCAGCTGATCCCATTGCAGGCGCGCTGACCGGTGTTCCCTCGCGAGCCGTGATGACGCGCAACCCTCGGGTGGATTTGGCACTTCCTCGGGTAATCCTCCTTCGAATCCCACCCACCCTTTGCAATTCCCGTTGGGGCTTCCAAATTCTTTGCCAAATCCCTTTTTGCATAACCCCCAGTCTTCAACCTTTTCACCCCCTAACCCTGTTTCGCCCTTGGAGCAACCCGTAAAACCGCCTTCTTATGGGATCCCGATCTTCAACGGCGACATCGAAGCATTCTCCGAATTTTGGGACATTTTTTCTACAGCCGTGCATGACAGCAACACCGTGTCGGCAGCAGTCAAGTTTATGTACTTGAAGTCGGTCCTCAAAGGAGATGCTGCTCGGATCATCGCAGGCTTGAAGGCAACGGCCGAGAATTACGACACTGCAGTACGCACCTTAGTCGATACGTACGATCGTCCTGAAATCTTGAAAAGTCGTCTCTGGGACAAGCTGATACACCAACCACAGGCATTAGATTCTGCAGATTCTCAACGCGCTACACTTCGCGCGCTGCAGGAGACTTGGTACCAGATGAAGAAAGTGAATGAGAATTCTAGTTCGATCGCTACGTTGAAAACAATTCGATCTAAGTTTCCCTGGCGTACGCGCGAGAAAGTCGGCGAACTGAAGGACGAAGGTGACACTTCGTGGACTGTGGACGAGCTGTTGACAACCCTAGGTACGATTATTGATAGATTACAAGTGGAAGAGGAGTCCGACCTTGCAAGTCACCGTGCGTACAACTCGAATTCTACGGTTTGCCAGCCTTCTCCTTTCCCGCATAGATATCCTAGCACGAGCCAGCCGTATGTGAGGTATAGGGGCCTGCGGGATCGCGAGAGTCGGACGTGCGTACGGCCATTGCGCCGCGCACGTCGTATGTCACTGGGTCGTACTCGATTTAGGCTGGATAGGTGAGATTTTTTTGTTTTTCTTCTAATTTCTCGCCTTCTTTTCTTTTCAGGCGGCGAACATATGTTGGTGCAGAGGAGTTTAAGATCTAGATTAAGGTGAGGTGCAGGATTATGCTCAATACGGGCCGATATTGTGGACTTTTCACCCCTGCTTTGAAGAATGTTGAGTTTTCTGTTCTGGCTGTCCGGTTATGTTCGATTTTTCGTCCTGCCTGCCCGGTTACGAAACTCCGTTTTATTTGCAACGTCTGTTCTACCTCATCTTGCATCATGCGCGTCATCACAATCATAATCATTGTCATCATCATCATCATCATCACAAGCAATATGCAAGATAAGGTAGAATAGACGGTAGAAATAGAACAGTTTGCTGTAACAGGGCAGCCAGGACAGAAAATCCAACATCTCAACCAGCAGGCATGGAAGGTCTGCAATATTGAGTCCGTATTGAGCATAATCCTGCACCTCACCTTAATTCAGATCTTAAACTCCTCCGCACCAACATGTGCTCACCGTCTGAAAAGAAAAGAAGGCGTGAAATGTAAAAAAAAACAAAAAAAAACTTACCTATCTAGCCTTAATCGACTACGACCCAGCGATATCAGGCGTACGCGGCGCAAAGGCCGTACGCGCGTCCGACTCTCGCGATCCTGCAGGCCCCTATACCTCCCGTACCAGCCACAACATCACCCTCAGTACGCGCATAGCTCGTGCCCACCATTTGGATATCCCGACGTCATTTATAGACCTTTGACACCTTACTACCCGCGGCGTGAATTACGTAGTCTTGTCAGACCACAGTACACCACACCATGGGAGCCTCGCTGTGCCTTCTGTCGTCGTTATGGACATGTTTCGGAGTGTTGCACGGTGTCACCAGACGTGCAACAGAGGAAACAGCTTGTCAACCAGTATAGACTGTGTTGGCTATGTCTTGAAGAAGGTCACATTTTCAGCATTTGCAGAGCTCCAGCGTGCAAGTATTGTGGCAGGTTACATCATCCAGCGCTACGTCACCATCAGCGCCCTATCCGTCGTACCCGCTTGCGCAATTCCATCAGCGCTTTCCTTCACCCAGGCGCGTCCTATTCGAGGAAATAGTGCGCTCTCCGCTGGGTCAACCGCAAGCCCCTAGCCCTTCCGGGACGGTGTGACCCCTCTCCACTCCCGCTGGTGTACTTCCTACGCAAGACAAACCATGACGTTTAGCTGCGCGTCTCCTAAACCAAGACGATGACAAAAGCTCAACCGCTCGAAACCGATGATCATCTGCGGGAGCTGTTGGAGGCGCTGCCAGTACGAACAATCTCATAAAACGATCAATACGAACGAAACTCGAAGAGGCGTAGACCGCGGCCTGCGCGCCCTTATATACCCTGTGACTTGGCAACGCGCTCAGCAGGAGAGGTCTTGGCGCGATCTTGAGAGCGCGCCAAGTAACGCGATAGCCAGCGCTCCCGGCCTCCTGTTTCGAGGAGTGGCTTGCATCGCGAGCCGCGACACTCCCCCCCGAAACAGTGGACTTGGACGTTCGAATGGTGGTGCGACCTACCCTGGAAGGTCCCAAAATCCTACGCTCACGTCTGAAATGATGTTACCGAGGCGCGCGAGCGCTTACTTCCCATGCGCGATCGGGGACCTAATACATAAAGATGCAACGAAAAACGAAATCGCGCAGGCTAAAGATGTTAAAAAAATGGACTTCAGTCCAGCCTCCCACGACAACGATGTTAATGCGCGGGCTCCTCTACGCAAACTGCACAAGGGCACACGGTTAGTAAATGCTCACAATCAAAAAAGGGGTAGCAAGCTCTTAAACTACCTAAAGCGCGTATGCGCAACAAGAGGTAAAATGTACAGATGCGTAAACACTTACACTTCACCTTGGCTGTTTCAAACGAGGCTTGCGCGCGCGTTGAAGAATGCCTGATGATGAACATGGCGTAGAGGATTCTTGAGCCGGGCTGGGTGAAGTCGAAGACTGATTCGAGAAAATCAAATCCGTGGCTCTGGCGCTGGAAATATATAGGCACAGAGAAAGTCATGATCGAGTAAAAAGGTCGTATCAGGGTAATTGACAAGTCCATGTAAGCGATCAAGTGAATCGACAGCTAGTTTATTCAAAAATCGAACACATGACACAAATCTCCATGAACTGAGGCAAACCGATAGGCGCGTCCTCGCGCATACATCATACTACACACGTACAAAACAAAGGAATAACAAAATAACAACGAACAACAAAACAAATCAACAAATAACAAATACAACTAACAGTAACAACATACGTTTATGAATTGATGACTTCGCTATCGTCTTGCCCTCACAGCTCCTGATGGTCTGATCCATGTTTCCTCATACTTATGTGTGTTCGTCTCGTCGATGTCTAGCTGATCTCTAACGGCAGTAGATAATTGAGTGCACGATTCACTGTCTTTCGCTTTTCAATCTTGACTCCGGCTGATCTTGCGTTGCCATTAGGTGAGGTGTGTGACCGAAGGATTAAGTCAAGAAACCATCTAGATCTTAACAAATCCTGTTCTCCTATCAGCACTATATCTCCGACGCGCGGCGATCCTTTGCTACTAGAGTATTTCTGGGTGCGCGTCGCTTATCGTCCTGCGAGCGCGGCAAGATGTTGACTGTGCGATGTATCCCAGAAGTAATCAAAATCGATCTCAG